TTTGACTGGGACACTGACTTCAAATTCTTCAAATTCTTGTCTCTGTGTCCCACCCTACCCATCACGGGCGGGCGGGCTCGGGTGCATTGCTGGCGGTGGTGGCAGCCACAGGACCACAGACATGCAAAAGACGCAAAAACAAGTCTCCCAAAACCTTGACGCGATTTCGTGTTTTTACAGGAAAACGAATCCAGATCTCAGCAGCACCTAATTCCTGTACATAAGTCTCGAGCATACGAAAGGATTTCCAGCGACCTCGCCACTGAACACGAACCAGGTCTTCTGACCACAGACGAAACAGGTAGGTGGCGCCACCGGGCCTCAGTGAGCTTGGCAAAAACACGACCGTAGTCAGCACTTCACGCTGCACCAAGTCCAGCCTGGTTTTGAAAGAAGCCAAAGAGCCGCACCAAAGCTTCCGCCACATCGGCATCGAGCCGAAGATCGTCTGCACCCAGCCGGCGATGCCGGCCTCGTCGAGGCGCACATGTTGCGCCGCAGCTGCCCGAAAACGAGTTTTCGGCTGGGAAACTCGAACGTAGATCACATTGTCGCCCCAATGGTCTTGCGGGAGAGACAGATCTTGTCGTCGCAAACCTATAAGCTCTGAGGGTCTCAATAATCCAAAAAAGCCCAGTACCAGCAACGCCGCAAAGTGCGGCCACTGCCATGCCATGGCAGTACCCGCAAGAGCATAGAGCACTTGCACCGGCATAGGCGGGTGATGAGTGACTGGCTCCAACATGTCCCATGTCTTGAGTACGCTCCAAGGCGCGGCAAGAGAGGATCTGAGCCAACCAAACTTTTGGACCACCACATTCAGAGTCTCGGCTGCTGACCTGCGGCTCTGACCATCCAGATATAAGGTGACCATATATTCTTCGAGCCACTCGGACAAAACATCGATGTGATGCCGAGCCAAATCCTCCAAAGTAACCTCGGGCAGTTGAGTTGCCAACCAAACCTCCAGTTTGGTAAGCAGGTCCTGTCGGATGCTCTGAGTACGGGCCGTCACACGACCTCGCTCGATCAAAGCACGGTCTCGCACCTGCATCTGAGGAGGTCTGGGAGCTCCGCTCACCATTCCGCAACAACAAAGAACCAGCCAGAAGAAACCAGCGGTTGTAGGCCCGTGGCAAGCCCTGCAACTCATCTAGCTGAATCAAAGCCTCGCGGGCGCCAGTCCGCAGCTTCCAAAACCAAACTGGTAGGGGGGTGCGTGCGCCTAACACCTGGTGATTTCGGCTTGGGCCATCCGCTCTTAGTGACCAAGTAGGGAAATGAATGCTAGACACATGCAAGTGTTTACCTAAAATGTACGGAGCTTCGGAGCGCATAATTCGATTGAGGGAAGCGGAGGGGCTCCGCCCTTTGCCCAAAGATCCAATGTTCACACGACTGTCCTGAGCAACCACAACCCTTTTGTCACGACCTAACCTTTTAAACAAGGTTCGCCGCGCTTTAGTTTCCTGCAAATTAATGTGTTCTTTTTGGCGAAACTGGTATTTGATCCAAGGTTTCCACGTCAAACCTTCTGACAGCTGCACGGCCCACAAGGCCGAACCTCCTTTCCGCTTCCGCCGTTGGCGCGGGGCCAAAGTTGAGTCAACGCGTTGACAAAAATGAGAAGTGTTCCGATCTCCATCCCCCGCACAAAGCAAACCTTCAGGGGCATCCATCCCAAACGGATTGGGGGGGGACACAACCAGAGCCCATTGCACAAACACGTCAGCCACGCGGTCACAAAAGGAGTTCGAGTAGACCCCCCAGTTGGTGGTATTTTCCCCTTTCACCCCTTTCGCAACCAAGTGTCGCTGTTGAACCTGGTGACAACATCGCAAGCCCAGCCGCCGCACAGGCGGAAAGTTAGAAATTAACTTAGTCGTTTTCCTACAGTTCTGGCCAAAGCGGCACCAGTCAAAAAGCAGCTCAAAAACACCTGTCATCGTGGTCAAATGTATCCAAGGAGGGAAGGCTTTCAAACAGCCTCTGGCAGGAGTTTCTCCTGTCATGAAATTTCCGACCGCCATTTGAACACCTGCCAGCAGGATGCACTGGCAAACATGAAGGTTGCCTTCTACCACACGTTCAGTCAACACGTCAAAACCCCATGGGTCATCCAGCGATCTCACTTTAGGGGTCCTAGTCAAAGAAAACGTAGTACGGGGGGGGCCCACCAAAGAAACTTCACTTTTCTCGCTTTAATAAACGACATCAACCCAACAAACGCTTGAGGATCCATAAAGCTCCAACCCTTTTTCAAATCCAAAGGCGGGAGAACACGCAACCGTTTCCTTATCCAAGATTGAGACATTTGACCACATTCGGCGGAGATTTCCAACAGATCAAAAGGCTCTTCGGACAGTACCAGCGCAGGAGACTCTTTCCTGAGACAGTCAAGAAATCCATGCTCCCAATCGCACGCTTCTCCCCCGCCCCCAATACTCTCATCAGAGCTTGAGTCCCACAGATCTTCCTCATTATGACCGTTACCCTTCAAGGTAGACTGCAACCGTGTCAGCAGAGGCATGCGGTACCCCACCTTGTCTCCTCGACGCCAGACCTCTTCCGACACCATTTCCCCCACCTCCACCCGACAAACACCCGCCCCAGACGGAGACGCATCGACGCAGTAGAGAAAGGGGTCCGGGAGAGCGCGGGCGTCGCAAATACAAAGGGGAGCGCAACAGGCCAGAACCAAAAGTTCGTTTCGGGCGCCGGGAGACAATTTAAACAGCTCACCAGGGTTTCCCGGGGAAAGTTGGTGGTAAATTTCGTACATGAAAGAAAACAGGGGTCTGCGGAACTGTAAATTGAAAGCCCACAGCCCTGTGATCGCCTCAATCATTTTTTCATCCACTGGCCCCGCTTCAGTCATCAAGACCGAAAGTTGAGCCAGCTTGAGCAGTTTGTTCCGGGCTGGTCCAATGAGCCCCGCGATGCCTTCCACCTCGGCACCCCATACTCGTGCATGAAAAGCTCGTCGAACTTCCTTGCCTTCGTGGGTTCGGAGCTTAACCGAATTATAGGCAGAACCTGCCTGAGCAAAAGCTTCCACGTCTCGACCAGGCTGGGAAAGAGTTTTCTCAACGCTGCCTTTCCAAGGCAACAACTGTACCCCCAGGTGGTCATCAATCATGATGCCCTCATAGAAACCACTTTCGGGTTTTGGGATAGGTTGTCTATAGTTCAGGGTTTCGTCAGGGAGAAGAGCGCCCCTACTGCGTAACAAGTTCACATGACTTTCTTGAGCTATGTCAACCGCAGCATGGTCGCCCATCCCCAGACCCCGAAAACAACACACCAACTTGTCATGTTTCGTGATCCGATTGGCTGCCAGAGCTGCCTTTGCAGCGTTCAAATGAGCCACCTCGCCCCACCGCAAAATTGGCCCGACTGGGCTGCTCCGAGCCCTCGCTTCTGTAGCTTCATAGGCGTGGTAGAAGTCACGAATGTCATCAACAGAACAAACACAAACCTTGTCCTTTCCCAGAGGCAACTGAGTCAACAAAACACCATGAGGAAGGTTCCGTGACTCTCCTACCACATGATACTCTCTTTTGTTCCTACGCTTCCTGTGCAAAATTTGACGGTCTTTATCCATATCTTTAGCAACAGCAAAAAGCTCACACCTATCCAAAGAGCAAACTTCATCACTGCGACACACAAACAACCGGTCCAAAACATCCCAACGAGAAAAGACATTTAACAATTCTGCACGGGTAGCGGTGCCCTTTATGTGCATCGGCGGTGGCATGTCTTCCGGGGCTTTGAGGATCACATCGGGGTTCTCATAAATCTCCCGAAACTTTTCTGACAAATAAGGCCTTGGGTCAAAGTTTGACACCTGAGAAGGGAGACTGAGCCTCTCAGCAACCACTGGAAGTGCCTTGGTGGCAGCAAAAGCTGCGTCTGAACTTTTCTCGCCAAACGATCTCTTTGAACGGGCATACGGCAAAACATCACATGCACTTAATTCAGATCTCAGCTGGTTCAGATGATCTTTCACAGCTGGTAGCCGGAGGCCGCATCCAAGCTCCGGGGAACTCAGGCGAACCATCGAGCGACTCAGCTTCAGGAGGAAATCTGTCATCTCCCTCTGTGCCACATTGAGTGGAACTCCACTCCTCCCTCGTGCCGGGGCAACCTTCACTCCCAGAGCTTGATGGCTAAGAGCGCAGACCATGAGGTTGGTCCACAATTCAGTCGCCCTCCGAGCGCGGAACCTGGCTGCCCTTCTCCGGGATCGTCCTCGAAGCGACATGTTGTCATTTCTCCAAGGGAAAGGAGGCGGGCAAGGAAACAACTCCTTCTTTGAAGTTGGTGGTGGTGGAGCTGCGCTACTGGTAAAAGTGCTAATCACATAGCAGGAGAAAGGCAAGGAAGACCGCCGCATAGAATCCAGAAGGTCTTCCAACCAAGACGCAATTTGGTAGTCTTGGCCTTTGGAAAAAGTCGTAGTGCTTTCGTTCTTCAGCTCAAGGTCTTCGTCTTGAACTTTCACTCCCCTTTGTCTTTTTGCATGTCGTCTTTGTTCTTTTGCTCGCCTTTGCCGCCCCCTTTTCCTCTCTTTTTCAGCAGCCATTCTTCTTCCTTCAGCTCGTTGATGATCGCTCCAATCCATGTCGCGTCCATCAGTCGCGTGTAGATGTACTGCTTTCGGATTGAGGGAAGGTCTTGACTGGCCCAATGGGCCCACGGCGGCTCTTCCACACCTGTCAGGCGGCTTGCCACTCCCCAGCTTTCGTCCAACAAAAACTGTTCCATGGCTGCCATCATGCGTACAGTGTGAAGGCGGGCTTGTCGAGCCTTTCCTTCCAACATCAGCTTGTGAATGGTCGCAAAGCCTGTCAGAGCATACCCGGCAGTTCGAGATCGCCCAACCGGGACTGACTGGATGAACTTTTCGGGGATGGTGGGACCCATCTCCTCTGCTCCTACAGCACGCTGCATTCGCATCTCCATTCTCTCCAAATAGGCTCCAGGGTTTTGCTTCATGGCCGCTCGAAGCTTTTCCACCGCCTCGATGGCTTTGCCTCCTCGGCTGGTGGAGGACCAAGTCTCTCCTCCTTCTTCTTCTGAGGAACTGCCGATGCCCCCTATCAAGCCCGGCAACTTTTTGCTCTTCTTGCTTGTCTTTCCCTGAAGGTCCTTGAGTAGCTTCAACATACTGAGCTTCATCATGTCGTCCACAGAAGGCGTTGAAGACGACGCAGCCATCTCTTCTTCCACCAAGCTGACTAGCTCCTGCGCTGTGGTGCGAGCTGCAGGTTCGTCTAAGACTTTGCTGGGACGAGGCCCAACCTCTTCTTTCAAAGCCTTCAAAATGTCGGCCCAATCTTTTTCTTCTGACTTTTCGACCACCTTCTTCCCAGGCTTGTCCTTTGCAACTGTGCTTTGGTGAAGATTGGAAGGTTTGCCGTCTACTTTTCTCTGCAGCTGGTCCATGCGGCTTTCCAGTTTTGCCAAAGCAGCGAGCACTTGGTCTAAGCCCTGAGGCTCCGGCACTGGAGCTTCTTGGGCGGTTTGCCATCCCGTGTCTCGAAGTGACCCGCTCATTACCCAGCCTTCCACCGCATCGTCGAGCTCCGCAAAGTTGGGGAGGTCCTGGCTGTCCGCAAACCTTTTGTGCTGGCGACGGCTGCGAGGCGCCCTTCTTTCCAGGCTGTGTCTGACATCCAGAGTGAACTCTACCAACTGCACCTCGATGATCTGATCGGCGTTTTCCTGCAGACTGACTGTAACCTGAGCATTTGGGCCCATCAGGTCGTCGGCTGCGGCCTGTTGGCCCCTTTCCAGATCCTCCTCTGGAATGGCATCTCCCGGCACAGCCAGGATAATTCCTGTGCTGCTGACTCGACAAGGCAAGCAGATCGCCCACGCATCGCTGTCTGCGGGCCACTTGAGAAGAAGGACATCGACTTCGTCTCCTCGAGGGTTGACACACTTCAGGGTCTTCAAGGCTCTCTCGGCAACCGGCATGTTGCTCCTGCCAAGTATGCTCCACCTGCGGCGAAACTGGCAAAGGCTGTTGACACAGGGCTGTGACGATCAGGCGCTCTAAGTCTCTCCTGGAGCTTGACAGCTCAGAAAACAGCTTGCACGTTCTTGGTGTACCAAGTCCAATCGTGTCGGAAGAGTCCAGGTTGGAAATCAAGAAGGGCTGCTGTCCCGTCTTGTTGCTTTTCAACCTCACAGGCCTGTAGGGTATTTCCCCACGCAAGCCACTTTCCAGCACCGTCAGCCTGTCGCTCCAGAAACAAAAGATCCCCAGTGCGACAAACACTGAGATCCGGATCTGGGTTCTCCGGCTCACCCCCTGAAACTTCGTCCCAAGTATTCTGATCACCAGTTTGAGATGAAGGTGCAAGTTGGTCGTGATGGGAGTATGTGATGTGTCCTGAGGGTCTTGCAGGTGGCTTTCACGTGCCCTCACGCACGGTAGCGCAAGAGGCGGTCTTGCCCCACCAAGCCGCCCTCACGCGGTCTGATCTCTGCCTCTTGCAGCAAAAAGACCAACAAGCGCGTTCCAAACCACTGCAGTCGAGGACTCAGGCAAATTGCCACCACACAGCCACCAAGGCAGCACCCAATGCACAAACAAGTGATAGCCAGAAGTAGGATTTCAGCAAGTCGAAAAGGGTGATCGCACAAACCCAGGACGGGGCTCACTACACTCAAAAAATCTTTGAGCATCCAAACAGAAAGCTACAAACAACACATGTTGACTGCCCTTCCATGAAAACAATGCCGTTCCACGTCAATCTCCCACCCCTCACTCCTCTGCTGCCTTCGGAGAAGGGTGCGTTCTTGGTAGGTGGTTTGGTGCTGAGTTTCGGACTGTGAAGGGGCTGGATAGCTGGCTGGATCCATCCAGTCGATGTACAAATTGGTTACAGTATACTGTTATACTCCCTGAAATTCATCGGAAGTAGATGGCCCTCACGGCACTGGGCCCCTTGGATTGACGATTTTCCTGTTACAAACAGGAGAGGGGGTGTTCCATATCCGTGTTTACACGGAGAGGAGTTAAACTAAACCTCTGAGCCATAGAACCGTCTGTGGACCAGAAACGCGGCTGCTCACAGAATGTCTGTTGACGGTTTGATGGGAGTTTCCTCCACTCAACTGGACCCCAACACGTGCTCCCGAGCAGCTAGACCGCCCACTGGGCGTATCCCCCCACAAGACTCCTCAAGTTGGAATCATCACCTCCGGGTGTCCCCATCCCCTCAAAACGCCATGTCATTCATCTCTGTCCTCCTCTTGACGCTATGCCCAAACGGGTCGGATCGCCGAACGCCGAACGCCGGCGTTCAGGTGCCGTGCATCACTGAGGAAGTGCAAGATCTGCGGCTGCTGCGAGACTTCCTGAGAGGTCCCGAACCGAACAAGGCGCGCGTCTGAACCGAACACGGTCCCTTTGGGGAGGAGGGTTCTCGCAGGCAGGAAAGAGACATGGAGAAATAGAGATGAGTGCGCCTCAGACCAGGGGACCGAGCTTGTTGTGCGGTCCCCTGCGAGTGGTTGTATTGGTGAGCTTTAAGCCCTTGAGTTGAAAGGTTGAACCAAAAACGGGGAAATCATTCTGCAATTGCACAGGGAGGTCCCCCCTTCATAAACCTTCTGTGAGTGCATATGCGACCTTGGTCGTTGCTAAAGGATTTGCCAATGAAAAAACTTCACCCAGGAGTTACATGTCGGGGTGGTGTGGCTCGTCCCATCCAGTGAGCGGATGTGACAAGGGCACCTCTAAACCTCCACCCCATATATCGAACTCCTGGACAATTACAATTTAACCAATAAAACGAAAATCACACACAAGAACTGACCCTCCCAGCCAGGCTTCATGGAAAAGGGCCACCTCATTGAGGGCCTTGTCCACCTGCAAGCCATCAGAGATCCAAAAGCCACACCGGGGATGTCCAGGTCCTACTCGGTGTCAGCATGAAAAGCAGGGGGTCTCAAACCGGGGTCTCCCGAAGCATGAAAAGCACAACCTGGATGATGAAAACGGATGTAAAAGTGTAAAATGGATGATCAGTGACCATCTTTGAGAGAAAAAAATTATGCACCTGGACTCCTGGCAGCTGGACTGAAGACCCAAATGCGGTTGGCCCTAGACTTCCAGGCAGGAAAATCACTCAAGCCCGAGTCTTCTCAAGTCCCAACCTTGATGTTTATTGATTCTCTTGATGTGATTTTGCCTGCCTCTATCATATCCAGAAGCAGCCAAAACCCTACAAAGCCATGCTGTGCATTCTCTACAAACTTGAAAAACGCTTTTCCAGATGAAAACACCGTTCGCCCTCTCAACTCAAACCATGAGAGCTCTTCTGGTGGGAGACCTGATCTCAGGGTTGGAGACCTGAGTCTTAAAAGAACAATTGAAAAACGTGTCTTTCTCCGGTTTCTCAGCCCATCTTGGAAAACCTTCCTGTCCAGCCCATCCAGTGTTCAGGGGGGGTATCCAAGCTGTTCTGCTGTGCTCCGATTGGGCCGTGGCACAACGTCCCAACAGGCCCCAACCGCAGCAGCGGCCGGAAAAATCACCCCACCAGGGGGCCACAACAACGCAGAAAAGGAAACTAGAGGTCAAGTGATTGTTCTTGGTGATTGTCAATAGGCCCCTGACACTTTCACACAGTTTGCTAGTCTAAATTCGGTCCCCACAAGTCCAAAGAACCACTTGGACATTGGTTCTTGGACAAAAACATACAAAAACCATAGCCCCAGTCAGCTCCTTAGTGACTAAGTATACATGCCTTCTTCTTCACCCAACGGATCTGGACTCAACGGATCGGATCGGATCGACCTCTCGACCGCGGCCTGGGCCACCTTCCGCCCCAAAGACGAGAAATCCTCCTGAAGCGCCGGCGGTTCGACCGATCGCTGCCGCGGTCGACGGGTGTGCGGTCGGTCGGTCGGGCGCGCGGGCGGTCGACTTCTGCGGCTTCGGGCGCGGGAGACGAAGCCACTGGGCAACCGTCCCCAACGAACCACCGAAGAAGTCACTGTTCAGCAGGTCACTGTTCGCAATGAGATAGATTCAAGCACAGTAAACACCGTGCTTGCAAGTCACCGTGCTTTTGCTGCCCACTCTGGCTCCCCGCTTGTTTTGCCACTGGACCTCATTCAAGGCTTTCCGGCCTCGTTCACCGTTGTAACTCCCATGGGCCACCTGGAAAACGTGGTCCACCAAGACCAAAGCGAGCGCTCCGAGGTCCACATGGAGCGGAGAGGTCGCTTCCTCGTTCCGTCCACCCCACGGGGGGTACTGCAGTGGTTTTCAGGTTCACCCCCGAACGCCGAGCCAGGGGGGGCACTGCCAACGGCCCCCCTTCCCCCCCCTTCCGGCTTTCCGCGACCTGACCTGACTTAGGCTCAGCTCTTCGATCCGCTGCTGCAACGATCGAAAGAACTCCTCTCCGCCGCAGTCGGAGGTTCGCACCGGGGAAGGCAGGAGGTCCAAGGGGATGGAAGGAAGGTATTGATCCCTACAAGTCCAGTCCAACCTAGGAATTCATACCTTGATTGTACTTTACCTTCTTGAGTAGTGTTTTGTATGTGTAGGGATATAAAGCTGGTGACTCGTGACCCCCTCAATCAGGTCGCCATTTGTGGGGACCGCAGTTGTTTGTCGGTCATGAGGCAACATCTTCCAGGGCACGCAAGGGTGGGAAATGGACACCCCTTAACCTCTAAGGGGCTCGTGTTAAAACATGTTAAAACCCCTCCAAGATTGGCATTCGCCAACCTGAATCGCCCTTCTTCACCTCAGCTCCTCTCAACACGGTACCCAGTCTCACCGTCGCTCCGACGACGGCCCTCGCGACGTTCGCAACCCGCCCGAGGTCCCGCCCCGACGGCCCACGTCGCCGGATCCCTTGCGGGTTCCTCCAACTCCTCGTTCCGCACCTTCCGTTTCAAGGCCTCGAGATCCGATGGAAACGTCTCGGCCGAGACCTTCGGCGTTCCACCGAGACGTTCGGCGTCTAGCTGGAGCGGGTGTTCGCTGCTGAACGAGCTGGAGCTCAGCTCGGGGTGATCTGGACCCGACCTGCGTGACCGGAGTCCATGAATGAATCCCTGTTTTGGAACCTAAATCTCTGATCTATTCTTATCTAATGCATTCAATGTTGGAGATGACCCTGCGCTGTTTCGTTCGGTGATGTCCGGTCCCCTTGCTTTCGGTTTGGGCTTTGGGGAGACGGGAGACAGTCTCTGCAGTGTGGTCTCTGCGGTGGAGCCACCGGTGGAACCACTCTCAGGGGCCACCGGTGGGAACTTGCATCAAGCGCTTTTCAGTCTGCAGGAAGGACAGAAGTGCTCCAACGGTCTGCAGCCTGGAATGGATCCCTTCGTCCAAGGATGTAGAAGATCGGTTACAAGTTGAACCTTTGGGGATGTAGATGCAGGAAATTTGGGAGAAAACCCACAAGGGTCACCATGCCCTGGGGCATGATGGTGTGTCCTTGCTCAAATGCTGGAAACACAAACCACGAGCTGCTCGGTTCGTTTTTGGGGGAGAGCCCTCCAAGCAGCACCGAAAGTCGTGAAAGATCAACTGTCTCTCTTCAACACCCAAATGGGGTGAAGAATGGTGAAGAATGCTGAAACCTTTTTGCAACTCATGCCCATACAGCAAGTCGGTACGTTCCATTTAGAGTTCCTGGCTTCTCCTGGCAGCCGCAGGACCCCATCATCCTGCCCCCATCCTCGACCACTATGTCGTCCCATCTCGCCGTCCACCTCGCGTCCAGTCCGAGACACGTGCTCCCCGGAGAAGAATAAGGCCAAGTCATCCATCGAAAGTGCCGCCTCCTCCTTCAAACGCGCCCAGTCCGCCTGCACAGGCCGCTCCGTGGAGTCGGTAAAGTCGCTCCACGAACAAGCGAGACGAGCCAACCGCCGGTGCTTTGGGTTGGCCTCCGGGCGGGTTGGGTTGGCCTGTCATACATCTGCCAGCGCACAAAGCGCGGAGGGGTGAACCTTTGGTGGTCTCTCCGGTCGCCGCGGATTGGGCGCCTCGCGGTTGGAGACCAAAGGGATCAAAATGCCCTTGACCTTCTCTTCAAGCCTTGCAGAGAAGCTGAGTGGAGCGGATGCTGCGCGGATGCTGAGTGGAGGCTGAGTTGAGTGTGGGGGGGAATGGAGCGGATGCTTTTAGTTGACGTGGGCAGTTCTGCCGTGAAGAAGCATGAGTTTCAATCCGGGTTGTGTGGGTCAAGCACCAACTGCAGGTTGGTGAGCGCTCCTGCTGGAGACCTTGAACAATGGTTGATTCTTGGATAGGTCACAGACTAGGTTCGGAATCCGGAAGATACTTCTTGGATGTCAACAGGTGTAAGGTGCCCGGCCTTCACTGCTCAAAAATCCCTGTCTCACTACACAAAAACAAAAGATTGAACACCTTCGAACACCTTCACCTTCCCAACATGATTCCATGGATGGCAATGGCTCACCGCTTCAACCCCCTAGTAGTTCTTCTCAGCTTCCCACCGAGACCCGCGGCAGCCCTGTTCGATCGTCCGAGGTGCAAGGCGGTGTCCACCAAGGCTCCCAACCTTAGAACAGCAAGGAAGGCGGAGCAGCGGTGTCAGGATGCAGACCTGTCCTCCGTCCTTAAGGGCCGCTGGAGGCCTGGGTTTTCTCAGTAGGTGACCTCAACAAACACGTGTGTTTTCTTGTTTTTTTCCACAGCTCCCAGAGTCGAACCACGGATGCCAAGTGGATGAAGACGACCCAGGTATGAAGGAATCTGGAAAGGATGCAAATCCTTCACATCAACTAGAATCCACCGGGTTCCCCGCGTTTGGGGTGTCCAATCAAAGCCCCGAACAAGAGCTTGAGGGACACCATTGCTTATCTATTGCTCGGGGAGGCTCTAGGAACGGGATGTCTAGCGTCCCCCAAAAAACACCCTTCCACAGCCCAAACATTTCCAGCTTCTCGTCCCATGCTCTCTACCCCGACCCCGCAGCACCAGTGATTTCCCGTTAGTTATATATACAGTAGTCACAGTAGTCCAAGGAACACCTCCTCTCGCATGCGCGCACTGCTGCGGCAAACACTCTCCAGCTTGGGATCTTTCGTGGTAGGCTGGAGGAGGAGCCATCGGATGCTGGTATTGGCCTGGCTGGTCACTTCCTCTCTCTGGCCAGAGTCCAATTTATCAGCAAAGTGTTTTAACAAGTATGGCATACAACAGTATGTCATTCACGAGATGGACTGTCGAACCATTGGAGAAAAGCTCTTAGTCAAATAGTTCATAGGTGACACGATTTGACGAATCATCTGACGATTTCAATTAGTTTAGACTAAACCTGGTGTGCCAGGTGCACATTGGGGCTCACCATACTTTGAAAGACCTTCTTCAAGGCCACGGTAGGATCGGTAGGCTTTTCTTTGATCACCCGCCTGAGTGCCTCAAACCTGTCAAACACCCAGAAACCCGGGCTGCTGGTTGGGGGATCCACTCGCAGACTCACTTAAATCCTTTCAGTGCACTCTTCATGGAAGAGGTTCGACACGTGTAGAAAAGGACTTGTTTTGAGATCCCAAAAACCCACTTGTGACCTGTTCTGAGTTGTCTTCTCCAATCGCAGCCCGCCAGGCCGCAGAAGTGTTGCGGGTTCAGTGTCGACTTCTTCAGAAGTTCAACAGCCATAAGACTCAAATCACTCTTGAGGGCCATGGGAACTCAACTTGCGAGCTGGGTTTGTTGTTCACTGATGTGCACTTCAACCGATCTGATTCACCCAAACCTATTCCTCTTTGGAGCAACATAACCGTATTTTGGAGGGTTGGCAGTCCAATATATGGACGAAGTGCCTTTTTGGTACGTCGTGTACAACACCCATCTCGTTTGCTCTCCCCCCATCGATTCATAGCTGACCCCGTTTCAATGCAAACCCAACCGTCATACACCGCACCACCCAAAGGTTTGCTATTGGAAGGAAAATACATCATCAGGGGTGTCTATAAACCACCATTTCCGTGGTGTTGGTCATTGAAATAACTGTTGATCAACATCGTTCATCCTGTTAAAGTGGTTTCTCCACGATCCACAACCAGAGTTCAAGAACTGTTATTTGCGGGGAGGGGCTGATGTAACATGAAACACCATGTCTTAGCAACCTTAAAAAAATCGACAGCGCGTCCGCAATATACACCGGTATACACCGGCATACGCCCGCCTCTCGAAAGAGGCTCAGCAACTGTGACGTCTTGCTGCTGACGTAGTCCTGCAGCTCCGGTACGGAAGCAGTTCCCCCCTTTCAAGAAAACGATGGACCCGCATGGACCTTCTGGGTCCTCATGGACGTTCTGGATCCACGGTGGACCTTCTGGACCCACATCGACTCTATGGACCGACGGCCGTTTTGCGTTTTCCCCCTCAACAAACCACCGTTTGCGAAGATGACCCTGTGAACACGAGTGGATTTGCAACCATCCGGGAATAGATACAATATGAATCAACACAAACTATGGCCTATTTCTTATCTTTTGCGCTTTGGATTTTGCGAGACTTCCTCACTTTGTGTCGTAAGAAAAACCACCCTTGTGGCCTAACCCCCCAAAACCATCTAGAAGTCCCGTCAGCCACTCGAAATCCAAAGTGTCTGTCGAAATCGTCAGCCCTAACACACACATCGCTTTCCCTACCTTCCTCCTCTACTTCACAGCTTGCTTTCACGCTGCCGCGAGGTCAACCAAAAAAATCATGGTATGTACCGGAGCAGTCCCAAGCCTGCATGAAGCATCATGCTCGTTGCTGCGCTTTTTCCGCAAGTCCCGCGGGCACTGCACTGCCAGGCGAAAAGATGCTCAGGTGAACCGCCAGCTTCTGTCCTGCTGTTTTCCCGCCATATGCTCTCAGAGGACTTCACGTTTGTCACTCAAATAGGGCAGCATTAATTGCAAGTATCCCCTCCAGCAGATGAACCTGGCCCGTTAACATGACTGGAGGAGAAATCGTAGTCATAGCTCTTCTAGGCGTGCACCCTAGCTCATGTCTGCGCCCGTGGCTGTTCGACATCAGGCACCATGTGAAGGCACCAGAACCACTAAGTTTCGCGTGTGCCTGGAAAGCATGAGGTCGGTATACACACTATATTTTTTGGCTCTTATTATCAGGATAGCGTCTATCAACCTCCACAGTCACGAGCGTCAACCGCGCACGGAAGACAACTCCATCCAAGCGGCTCTCTCACCACGCGCTCTTTCAAGATCCTTGGCCGCATCACACCTTCTTCCAATGGCAGGGGAAGTCTGAAACCAATAGAAAAGTTCAAGGACATGTCAGTGTCTGAAACCCATTTGACCTGGATTTGATGCGGCGGCTAAATATTGCTATGCACAAATGTACATAGGCATCTGCCTAGATGCACACCAAAATCTCGTCACACACACAAACATTTACAAATACACTTGCACGCAGCGGCAGCGAAACGAAAAGCATGCCACGCACAGCAACGGAAAGGAGCCAGAGGCTTCCTCCAAAGACTGCAGAACAAGAAACATCCGAATACGTCTCCTGCGTTGCGCGACATAGGAAACAGAAAGGTCCCAAAGCCGGGGTGACATCGCCGCGAGGAAAGAAGAACCCAAAAGGAGGTGTTGTTGTGGTGTTTATTGAAAGAACTGCCGTGTCAAGAACAAAAGGAGAGCACTGCATGGTCGTTTTCTTTGCCAAAGTCACACACATGGGTCGAGGTGTGTCTCTTCAACAGGCAATTTTGATGGTCAACGGCGATCTTCACCGAACACCGTAAATGAACCGACAATGAGTCATGACTCGGGCAGTGACTGGGATACCCATCATGTCAGGTCTGGTCAACATAGCTCAATCACCTGTTGACACGCCTCTCCTTGGTCGGGCCCTTGTCCGCAAGGGAGCGGTTTGAACCCGCTTTCGCGCCCAGCATTTCGGCGCGTTGTCAGCCAAGGATTCTTAGGGTGGAGTGAGTTTTACTTTAGATCTGAAGGGACAAGGGAGCTATCGGGGGAACACTATAAGGCTGCAAAGGTTCGCAACACACCAAGGCCAAGGCGATATGCACTTCTTTCCAAAGTGCTTGGAACGGGGATGTGACATGAAAGTAGTTAGAGCACATGCTTTTTTTTCGCTTGTTTTCGGCGCGTGTATGCCCGCTCACCGCAACAGCTTTCGCAGCGGCGACAAGAGAAAGGCCGGATCGGATGGCTTGCCGGAGAACCACGACTTGAGCCTTGGCCGCAAAGAGAACCACAACGTGAGGTGACAAAGCGGAACTCGGGCAAGGACGTCTAGACTGCGCGTCACCAGAGCGAAGCCGTGAAGGACTAAACCGGCGGTCGCACTGGGTGCCCAAGTGGGCTATCTCAGCGCGCCATTTTTGTAGGACACTCTTGTGGTGCACTCTTGTAGGGCACGCCTGTAGCACACTCTTGTGGCACTGTCTTGTGGCACAGTCTTAAAGGTCACTCTGGTAGCACACTCTTGTGGCACTATCTTGTGGGACACTCTTGCGTGGCACTCTTGTAGAGCTCTGGCGAAACTCTGGTGATGCACTCTTGTAGCGCACTTTTGTAGCACAGTCACGAATCAAGTCTCCAAAACCAGCGTTCTGTCTGGAATCACAAGGTGTTTCTAGAAAGAGTTGCATGTCCACGTTGGTGAGGATGTCAAGGTCCCCCCTCCCCATTCTTCTAATAATGCCCCCGCCCAATTGAGACAACAAGCCCCCCCTACTCTTCTAATATTCCCCCCAATTGAGATAACAAACCCCCCAACCCCGCTATCGGGCCGGTATGAAAAAAAAGGAACGATGTCATGGTGTCAGCGACGGTTGCCGCAAAAACTTCTCTTCAATCCCCGGACTCTCCCATAAAAACAACAAAGTCAAGGAACGTCGCTTTTCGAGAAACAGACATGGAGAGAGTTGCATGCCCTGACCGCGGGCGGTTCACGAAGCTCCCAGCTTTTGGCGGTTGAAGAACCCGACTTTGAATTGGGCACCCCTGCCCTGTAGGGTCCTACATTTTGGTCACTTCACCAGGCCAAAAAGTAATATCTATGCAAATCTCAGACCGAGAGTCCGAGAGTTTCATCCTGACTGCTTTGGCCAACAAGTTTGCCCACACTGAAACTGTTCTCCCACCAGTTTATTCCCCACGGACCACTGACAGGTCCTCAGTGAGGACTCCTTCCATCAGACAGTCTTTGAGCTTTGCTTGTGCATCCTCAGGTGAAGAACGACGGAGAGCTGCGGAACACCAGCTGGTGCGCTGGCTGCGCTGCCCGGAACACTTGTGCTGTGCCCTGCTCGGAATCCGAAGCGCCAGGCACAAGAAGGGCTCTTGCTCACAGAAAACCCAAATAAACAAGGGTTTGTTAAGGCCCTAAAGGGTGCTGCTAGACACCCCAAAGCAGGGGTGTCAAAAAGGATCTTTTTCATCCGCCCATCCACCACAGACCTGGTTTGTGGAGGCTGAAAAACCGGCACGAAAAACGGTTGACGGTCACATTTGTTCAGCACTAGGTACCCGGTTTCCGTGTTGCATCGGGCCAATGCAAACCCACGAGCACCCGAAAAAGGCCCCCTTCTCGAAAAAAGGCCACCAAGACCTGTGCCCTTGACCCCCTCGGTGAAAGCGACGTCTTCGCGGAACGGTGGGCACCTCGCGCTTCGCTCCAAAGGAGGGTGGGAAGGGGGATCCTTGGACCCGACACCTCCGGACCCTCGGGGGTTCCGGAGTCGGATAAGGATCCCGGCTATAGAGCCTTCTCGAACTGAAACAGCGTCCACCACAGGGCACCGGTCTCGAACAGTTGTGCAAAAACGGTGACTCGTCGGTGACCCGACAGTGAGGTTTTCATCCACAGGCTGCACCTGCTGAACTTGCCCCAACCCCCTGATCCCTTTCTGCTTCAACCATCTTGAGGGCTTGGGAAGGCTCCAAACCCAGTCCAAGAACATCTCGCATTCATCAAGCGGCCGCTAAGCGCTCCATGTGCCTTTCTTGGAGCTGTCGCACATTGCTTGTCGTGACCGCGTGCCCCAATGCCTGAAGTGCGGCGTGGTTCAAGGCCCAGGGCCTTCAGAAGGCAAGCGCCAAAAACGACCTTTCCAATGCCCCACAATGGTGGTCACTGAACTCATCTTGCAGGGTCTGATAGCCATACTGTCCATACTCCATAAGGTCACTCACCTGTACTGCTTGCCCTTCTGAGGCCAAAGAAGTTGCCCACACCCACTTGGCTGTTTGAAGGGCCCTCAACACCTGTGGGTCTCAAAAACAACAAAGCCACCTCAGAAATCGCCCTTTACGGGGTACACGGTGCTTGTTGGTCTGTAAGACAGGGTGTCAGGGTGTACGAGGCTGGCAACCGAAAAAGTCATGGAAAGAGAAGATCATCCTGGATTGTACGTGGGAAGGTAGCTGGAACGCAAAACTCATGGGTGCTGGAGTGTTTGGGTTTGTGTGTAACAAGGGATTTCTTCAAGAAAACATGATCTCGAATTCTTCTGCAAACAAAAACAACTACATGGTTGTCTGAACCTACCCCATGGGCCAGCCCACAGCCATTTCAGCCGATGTCACAGACCCCGTGGAGCCTCCGCGATCGCACGCGACACTGGTGAACCCCCCTGGCGCCTGCTTCGCCGCCGGATACGGTGCCCACATCTGCAGCAAGTCTGCCGTGAAGCCTTGGGAATCGTTTCACTGCGAATCCTTGCACCTGTAGTAACAAGAAGCTACTGGGAGCGACAAGCTACTGGGAACGGTCTTTGAAGCGACTAGTAACAAAAAGCTTTTTGGTATGTCTTTGAAGCTTCTTAGTAATGCGAATCGATAGAAGTTCCACCGGAACGAAGCTCGCTCCTCAAAGCGACCAGGGAGGAGGGGGCTGTGAAATCCACCAACCTGCTGTGAAAACCGAGATTTTTGATGGTGAAACGACGAAAACCGGCGAGAACGGGCTTCTCCGACCACCCTGCCTACGAACCACGATCATTCGAGCCTACCCCAGAACGACCCACGAAAACGGCCCACCAGGTGTTAAGATTGAAGCACCAATTCCTCCGCCCGGACGACCGGCCCTGCCGGCGCGGAAGAAACGCGTACGCGCCACGCGCGGCCACGCGCGGCCACTGCGCGGCGGCAGTCTGCACCGGCGGCAAACAGGCGGGTCGAAACAAACGACTCCACCCGCGCCTAGGGCATAAGCGACCACCCAACTATCGCCAAAATAGCGATCCACGATCTCACGCATCGCCTCAGCCAGGTGAGGTGTTTTCTTCGTCGGCGGGGCCCGTATCGGGGGTGTTGATTCTTCGCGTGGTGGTGGTCGGGTCGGAGCGTTTGCATACTCGGTGTGGCAGCCACTCGGTGTGGCAGCCGGTGGCAGGATGTGAATGGACACACGGCGCCACGTGGCGCGGCCACCGGGGTGGCGGCTTTGACTCAAGACACCAGACCGACCTGCTTCACCACGATTCTGCCTTCCTGAAATCCTCCTGTCCACAGTTGAACCGAGGTCAATCCTAGAACCTGAATGGACTACGAACCACCCAGAATATGGTCTTTTCCTCTCAAAGCAGAGGTCAAATGGGTTCCAGGAATTAAGAAATGACAACTTGCTTTGGCTATGGTGATGCCCGACACGCCGTCAATATGAGGCCTGGTCCAGTCAAGTCCAGGTTATGATTTCATCCGCCGAGAATGCCTAAGGAACTGAAATTTCGATACACTCCATAGGAAAACCCTCAGTCTTTGCAGAGGACAACAATCTTTGAAAGGACCATGCCAATCACTTCCATGTTGGTGAGTTGGAGTGTGGGAGCTCACCAACAAATCTCGTGAAATTGGGCCATCTTGGAACTTGACTGCTTGCCCTTTCACCTGAAAAGTCTTCTTCATCCAGGTGTCCACCGAGACCGAGACCGCTGGGTGTTGTGAGGTCGTTCACTTGAAAAGGAGGACAGCCTCTCGCCCTAACCTCTTTCCGGGGCAATCATTAGATACCCACCAAACCAGGGGCCCTGCTAGATGGATCAGCTTAGGTGGTGGAGTGTTCCAACGAAGGCCCACACCACGTGCAAGAATGACGCTTCAATGGAGACTTTCTGCATCCCATAAGCCGAATACAGTAATGACAGCGACATTCTAGACACCCTACCTGTCCGAAAACCGAGAGCTGTGCTCTTGAAACCGAGACTGTTTTCCTCTCCCCGGTGGCCATGAAATCCGACTCCAAGGTCTTGGGCTCGAAGAAGAGACACACGTACCTTCGCTCAAGAGCCGAGGCGAGGGCTGGGGGAGCAAAAGACTTCATGGTGTAAATGTGACTTGTCTTGTTTTTGCGATCCCCAAACAAAGAGTGGCGTCCAACACATCTTCTACGTGTTCATCCACGTGTTCTATCTTTTTGAGCGTCAACCAATGCACAGTTTCATGTTGGAGTCAGTTCGCGAGGGCTATCACTGGTCAAACCAGTGTTGGAGCTTTCAGGCGGAGGGTTCCCTCGGCAAGTCCAAACAGGTAAATATGTCATCACAACCCAGCAGCTGCCTACACTACCTCAGAAGGAAAAAGATATCAGCGGGCTACAATTCCATCCCAATCAGTGGCCACAAAAGGAAGGCTGCCCATGACAGTTGTCCTTTATTCATACATGTCCAGTTCAAGGACACAAGCCCCAATTCTTCACGATCGATCGATCTAAAACTGCCATTTAGTCAGACATCAAAGAAACTGTAGACTAAACAGCGTGCTGTGAACATGCCCTACGGAACACCCAGCGTACACCCCAGCGACGCTTTGGGGACCTAGCAACGGGGTTTTGGGGCGACAGCAGCACAAGTCCACGCTTTGTTCGTCTTCGTCTTTGGCGGCATCTTTGTCAGCTCCAACTTCGAGGCAAGCGCACAACTTCCTTCCGTGGCCTTGCTGGGCAAACAAAGGTGGCCCATCAAGTCCTGCATCTTTGTCAGCTCCAGCTTCCAGCGTTCTCACTCAGCCAGGCTTCAAAGGCGACCAATGCATAGATGAAGTATCCTCGTATGTCCCAGGGATGCAGTGCTCGTCTGTAGGTCCCTAAGGACATGCGAATGGCTTCCAACACATCGACTTCCACACCCCGCTCTCGCTCCAGCGCCATGATCAAAGCGATGGCGAAAGCTGAAGATCGATTGACTCCCCAGTAGCAATGCACCAGGACTGAAGGCCAAGGCTGCTTTTCCTTTTTCAGCTCGGAGACTTTGGCCACCACTTCCACGACTGCCATCTTCCAGATGCTGACGAAGTCGAAGATGGTAGAATACCACCATGAAGTTCCCACAGCTAGGTGAGGCCAATCCGAGCCCTTGTATCTCAAATTCACTGGGCCTTTTCCTTCAATGAAACTCTTCAAGTCTTCCGGGTATCCTGGGCGGGATGGGTCCACATCATTCATCGAAACAACCAGGCTGACTGGCGACTCCTCGACAATGACCTCCTCGCATCTCAAGGCGTTGACTTCACTTCCCAGGAGAATGGTCACACCTCCTAGCTGGTCTTCATCGCCTTGCGAGTACATCACGGTCCAGTCAAGTGGCCACTCCAACACCTTTCTTGGATATTTCGCTTCTTGCAATTCATGATCTCGGGCCGTCCACTTGCTTCTGTCCGCCTTGTAGGCATCCAGTTCTCTAGCAATTGACAAGCCCTTCTCATAAGTCTCCTCTGCATGGAGGAATTCCACAAGGCTCTGGGGTACCTCTGCACTCTTGGCCCGTGAAATCACTTCTTCTTGGGTCAACATGTCGGGCTTGGTGTGGTTCTCTGTCAGACCTGGTCTTTTCATCTGCTTAGCCTGTGGTGATGGCCATGGGTGTGATCCAGTCGAGGCATTTTCCATGTGGATCTGATGTCAGCCGCTCAAGAAATGGACATCAAGAGGCTCAACAACCTAGCTGAAGGATAGACATATGATGGAGAAGGCCAATGAGTTTGTGCTAGGTCCGACTCAAGCTTTCTGGAGTTTCGAAAATGGCTTCCTGGTTCGAAACCATTCTTAGTCACGAGATCCTATGTTCGTGCTTGCCTGAACAGTGAGCTTCCCTTTTTGATCGGCTTCAAGTCTTCTCGAGCCAATGACACTTATTTTCTCACAAACATTCCAATCCTTTCACACAAAAAGCAATCCGAAAAGTCCATGGAATGTCCAACTCACTTATAGTCGGATCTGTAAGGCTTTTGAGACCACGCTCATCTATGATTTCGAACGCCATGCCGAACATCCCCGACAAACTTGAATCACTGCAACACTTGACCTGGCCTATTGGCAAATTGGTCCCGGAAGACCTGCATAAAGCATCGAGAAATCGTGTGCAACTCACAAATAGAAACACAGAAGCACACCCCATGGCCAATGTCCGACCTTTTGTTTGGGGTAGATGACCCCCCGAAAAAAAGGCCCGGCAACAGCCTCAGCCATCATTTATTGCACCAGATGTCACGTGTCAAGAAGAGTCGATAAACCCTTCTCTTCCAAATATCACTGGAAAGCCTTCAGGAAGCACCCCCAAAAAATATGTCTGCTATCAAAGATCTGGAGTTTTTCGGGTGGTTTTGGAAGCCATTAAAATGGGCGCTGGGCCGGACGGACGTAGCACTCCGGCCACTCGGCCACTCCGAACTCTGTGGACGAATTTCAGGCCTCTCCGGCCCAAGACGTGGTGTGACCCTTGACCCTTGACCAGGGACTACAGACCTCCCGACCGTCCACCACAGACCATTCGACCGTCCCGCGCGAGTCGTTCGCGGGGGGCACAGGAGCCCCGCTTGCGAGGACAGGCCATGGGAGCGATGCTCGGGGAGCGGGTAGTGGCGACTCGCCTGGCTGAAGCGGTCAGTGGCCGCGGTTCAGCGCAGCGGAGCGCAGCGGAGCGAAGCAGCTCGTGTTCCGTAACAGTGGAGTCAAAGACACCAAAGAAGGGTCTGACACCATGGGATCCGAAAGGGAATGTCCTTTACTTCAGAAAGTATCGTCCAATTGGACTTCTACATGTCAGAGTGCCATGCATGGAGGGTAGGGTGCCCTTCTCACACCCACTCAACCGGATGGGACGAGGCTCCCCGGCCCTGGCTGAGTGGACCCGTAGACCAAAAGGGTCGAACGGAGGTTGGTCTCCCCCCCGTGTACTTGAATACACACCCATATCAGTACATATCCCGCAAAGGAGGCCATTCTCAACCTGATGATACCCTTGAGCCTCCCAAACGCAACTCTGTGCTGCGCAAGTGGAGTGATGCCTGACTCTGTGATCCAATCTGGCGCCGGATCCTCTCCATGGGCACCGGCAACCCGAGAAAAGCCACCGTGGCCGAACACGTCGCCGGTTCCGTGGGTTCCGAACGCCGTGGCTGGGTGAACACGTCCCGACGTGGCAGACACGCCCGTTTCACGACGGGTGACCGTTTTGTGGTGCTTTGGTCGTTGAATCAGCCGGTTCAAACCCTCTCCAAAACGGGAGTGGAATATACATTCTTGGGCTGTCGTTGAAGATGAATTTTATGTGAATTGACTCCAATTCTGGATGCGATGGATGAGTACAATCAGTAAAATGACAACGTCTGTTCCTTTCTCGTCCAAATATCCATGTCAATGCTATAATGCCCTTCTAAGGGTGTGAGACATCTCTTGCGCAGCCTGGTCTAGGCTCCACACATGATCCAGTAAACATTCAAAACTCACGCACCTCAACATGCACAAGTTTCTGCACAGCATCCACCGCCCAGCCCCACCCACTCCGCCCCAGCGGGCGCTCAACCCAAATCCATCCAAATCAGCCGGACCACCACCCTGTCAAGCTTCAGGGCCTCGTAGAGGTCGCCGGTCTGCAGCTTGCCGATGACCAGGCGCAGCGCCTCCTTCCTCGGAAGCGAAGGAGGGCTGCACCAGCATGGCCGGAGGGGATGGCAGGAGGGGAGGTGCTGCAGTCCGGCATCCCGGATGGCAGGACGGCAGCAGAAGGGGGAAATCGAGGCGGGGCAGTGACTGCCGCTCCAAAGCACAGCAGGTGATGAAAGCAGGTGTTGGGGATGAAGGGAGAGAACTTACCCACGTGGCAACAAGATTGAGGTGACCGCAAGAAACAACATCAAGCTCCACATATGGAGTGTAGTTTAGAGAATAAAAGCCTGAGGGTTTTCGCTGCAAAATAAAATAAGGTTCTGATCCACAGAAATCACCGCGAAAACCTCTGATCTTTGTGGTGTCTGGCTGACCAGTCGTCCTGGCCCCACATGTTACAAGGTCTGAACTCATACGCGCCCATCTGGCGAAAACATCCAAAAGCCACAACCAACCAATGAAAAAGGCTCACAAAGCTGCCTTCTTCCCCCAGCACAACTCTAGGCCCCATGCCCAAAAGCCCAAATAGAATCCCAGAATGGCTTTCAGGGACATCTTTCAGGAGAGCGGCATTGGAAAAACATCCCAGAATGCATGGTCCCATCGTACCGACGGGGCCTGGCCAGTCGACGTTGACCATCGTTTTGGGGGTGTTTACATCGTACCGAGCACGCAGCGTGGGTGGTTTCCTGTGGTTCCCTTGGAATCCACCGGGCCTTTGGAGCGCCTACTCGGCCCACTGTTCCCCAGCCTTGGTGTTTTGGAGGCTGAAGGGTGGGTGGCTTTCCCAATAGAAACAACAAAAAGAATGCAGCACCTTCCGCCCAAATCACTAAATCACTCCAGAGCTGCGTTGTTGAAAAGGAACGTCTTTTGCCCCCAAAACACATCAAACATCAAAACCAAAACCATTCCAGCAGATTCCACATGGCTCCAAAAATGCTCCAAGCGGCGGCAAGACGAAACGTGCGAAGTAGTTCTCCGGATAGCCAGGTTTCCGATTGGCCAAGTCCTGCGACTTGGTCCAGGTCCGGTTTTGGGGCTTCCGGAGGGGACGCCTAGGGCCTAGTGATCGAAGAAGATGGTGATCGACTGCGGACGTGCGCGACATCGAAGATCTCGAGCCACTGGACCCCAAGGATGGCCCCGACCCAAGAGATTGGGATGTGATGAACATCAACTCTGCAAAGAAGTTGCAAAAAGAAAACACCAATTGTCCACAAGTTCCATCAGTCGATGACCGTAAAATGTGGTCTTACTGAACCCACATGAACCCACCACACAAACACTTGGCAGAAGAGGACATAGGTATAGAACATCTCAAGCTTGGGGACGCGATGGTCAAAATTCTCAGTCTCCCCCTGAATGGCTGATATCACTGATACCCCATCAGGCTCCCTCAAGCCCCCTCATCCACGTCAACATCTCCGACAACCCATTCTGACTTCCTGGCTTCCTTGGTCACACTTCACCTGCGGTGCACCAAAATCCCCTCCCAGCGACCCCAGCACCCGCACCCACCGGCCTGGTGGCGACCCTTCCCGCCCCCGCCCGGTTACGGCGGTCGCGATCCGCGGAGGGCCTCGTGGCGGCCGGTGGACTTGAAGAGCCGGCACACTTCGGCGAAGTCCTCCGGCTCTTCACCTCGCCAGACCGGGCGGCGCGGCGAAGAAGAGAAGGGCGGCGCAGACGGCGGCAGGTGCGGTGCGGGCTGCTGGGGTTTGCAGGGTTGCAGGCCGGTGGAGGAAAGGGGGATGGAGAGCTGGAGGAGGGGTTGTCCCGAAAAATGAGAACCTTGAGCAACTCCGACTCTCACTCAGATTCATGATTCACCTACAGTGGGATGGTTGAAAACCCGAATTGTTCAACTGAGGCCCCAGGAGAGGAGTGGGTTAGTAGATAGCAAGGCCCTGGTTTTCCACCAAACCTGGTTGGCTGGTTGGCTTGTTAGGCTTGGATGAACGATCACAGATCCAGTGCGTGATTCGGACAAAAACGTCCAGATGGCAATGAACTGATCCCACAGATCATGAAGAGGAGAAAACCACCCAACATGTGAACCATGATCAAACTCAGCTATTGCTCCAGCAAACAAAAGGAAGTTATTTGAGCTTGGTGAGTGAACCCCCCCACACTGAAGTCCATTCCCTTTCCATCCCCCAACATCCAGTCCGTCCTTGACCATCCATGGAGCTGGGGTCTTTCCTTTGCAACCCCCCCCCGTCTGGTGCGCCGTTCGTGTGCTTCGGACCCCGCCTCCATGTCCCGAAAAACCGACCGTTCATCCCAGTGACAAGTGCCCACGGTGCAGCGATAGAAGAGCACCAGGGCCCTCTCCCGCATCTGCCGTGCCGCGTGCCGCGAGGCTCGGTGCCCCGGCCGAGTTCGGCCGCGAAACGGCGCGCTCTTCATTTCGGGCGAAGAGGGGTCTGGACCCAGTGGGTGACTGCGGAAGGTGCACATGCGGAGCGCACTGAAGGATCTAGTGTTGACCTCCGATCCCGCGGAAGGACGGAACAAATGCACGAACGATAGGAACTGGATAGAAGTGTTTTGGGGAGGGTAAGTTCTTTGGCCAAGCTCCAGCTTTGGTGCCATACAAGCCTCCAGCGACTCCAGTGGCGTGAAAAGTCGTTAAAAATCGCAAAATTGGAGCCAGTGATTGACCTTGAGGTTCCTCTCTGGAGCCTCTGGTTGATCTTTGAAAAGGTAAAAGGATCATCAAACTCTCAGCTTGATCAGTTGATCGGGTGCTCTGTGAAGGAATGAAGGACTGGGATAGGGTCTGTTTAAAAAAAAAAAAAAGAATATATACAGTAATATATCATCGATGGAATCTCCTCGCTTGCGCTCTGCAAGCTCTGCAAGCTCTGCAAGCTCTGCAAGCTGTACCCACCCCTTCTTCCCAACTCCAACCCGCCGCCCAACCCGTGCCTCGCCCGGCAGACCTTCTTCAAGGATCAGCAGCATCGTCCCCAGCAACGCCACTGCCTGTCACATGCGGACGAACTGCGAGAGGTTGAAGACCGGTCAACGGACTGAGCCATGTGCCGAACGACGACCGTTGAAACCGATCCCAACGTGACGCAGAACCAAAGCTGCCTGTCGGACCCACGGTTCTTGGAGCACGTTGGGGGGGGTCCAAGCTGGGCGTTCGGAATGACATCCTCTTGGCGGTTGGGTCCTCCTCCCAACTGGATTGCACGAGCTTCGCATCGTTTCAGACGGTTGGGGCATCTTCACTCCAGCTTCTCGTGAGGAAACACATACTGATGCTTTGCAAGACTCATCGTCACCACAAGAGTTTCCAGGACATGCGAAAAGCGAAAAAAGAACTCCAAGACTCGCTTCTGGGATGCACGTTCACATCCGACGCATCGACTCACCAAGTGTCTTTCGACGCACCCGACCATGTCTTTCTTTTCAGCCAATGGTTCCACACAGAAGGAGCGTCTTTGCTACTACGCGGCCCATAGAAAGCTAGCCTCTAGATGCATCACTTCCTGCGCCTTGACATCTTGGGGTCCCCCAATTCCCCCATTCGCTAGGCGCTGCCAGCGGCGCACCGTTGGGCTTAGAAGTCCACAGAAATGAGGTTCGACACCCCGCAGCCGACTCACTGCATTCCAAGCCCCCAATGGTCTAGCTCTTCCAATGCCACTTGAGCACATCCTCGTCACCCCTAAAATAGCAGACATGTAGTATCAAAGCAAGAAAAAACCAACATATTCAATACAAAAGAGACAACCCCATGTGGACAGTCCGATTGTTGCACTTCTGCTCTCCAAAAATGCCGTCTCTTCCGCTCTCCCCGCGCCGGATTCTCCACCCGTCCACCGGGGCCGCCTCCGGCAGCAAGACGCCCTGCGGATCTCTTAGGGTGCCTCGTCCGACGCGGACGCGGGTGTTCACGGGCGTCGCTGTCGGGGTCGGGGTCGGTGTCGGGGTCGGGGTCGGGGTCGGGGGGTCGCGGACGCGGTCGGTTCGTGTACACCGTCCGATGTACACCCTCACTCCTTGAAATTCCTGGTGTCGATGGAGTGGAAAAAAATCGTTTGTAGAGGAGAAGGATCATGCCAGGGACCATACTATCCACTTCCATGACTATTTCTGGGAATGTAGAACCGGTTGAAGGGCTGATTCTTTTTGAGTGGAAGCCCTATAGCTTATAGAATGCTACTGCCAGCACCAAAAAAGTAAAACTCTTGGGGATCCTTAAGGTACAAGTCCGTCCAAAAGCTTCTTCCCCACCAGTTTGCCAAGAAGGCTACCGGGTGGTTAAATACCAAGATTCCAAGTAGGTCTCATGACAGTTGCAGGATCCAGGCTGAGAAGCCTTTGAAACAGCAGAAAAGTCCGCAGAACGTTCTCCAGTCTGTCCGCCGGTGGTCGTCTCGAGCTGAAACGAACAAGGCTTTCTTCGATTCTACACCCACCATCACCATCACACTTATTCAAGAAAGCAAAAAAAATGGATTCGTGAGGTAGAGCACCCGTAAGGACTTTAGCTGTTGTGGCGTTGGCGATTTGCTCATTCCCTTTTGGTGGCGATTAGGTGCTTCCCTGGGTCATGGCCTGGACAAACCTCCACAACAAAAGACACAACACATCGAAAACAAACAATGGATAACAATGCATATTCAAACAAAAACGAACGCACCATGGTCTTCGTCAGGCTCGGCCCCAAAAAGAATCACTGAGCATGTCGAAGAAGGACTCGACCCGACCGCATGGGAGTTTGGGCGCCATTTCGTCTGAAGCGGCGCACCTTCCAGCGACTGTCCCACAAAGGCTCCAGCGTCCAAGTCGTCTAAAAGCCTCACCAGATCCGCCGCATACTTCCTGAGCGCCGAGCGGGTCAGCGCGGGACAGCGCGGGTCGCGGCTCGCGGGGGGGCATGTGGGTCGCACCGGTGGACGCGCGCCGCCCGCACCGGGCGGTTGCCAGGTGAAGTGGGAAGTATTTGGAGCTCCAAAACCCGACAACTCGTTGGCTGCTCAAGAAGCTAGGCCTAGGGCGGATGGGCGGATGTGTTGGCTGCATGGTGTTCAACGCGCTTGGAAGCAGACCTAACATGCATTCACGACCATCACCTGCAAAGTCCAGGCTCTTTTGGCTCACACCCTCGCTTGCATGCCTTGATGTGCCTTCCTCAAGCAGAGGCTTCAGCTCTCAACATGAAATTAAATAATGGGAAGTGAAGTCCCCATGTTTCCCTATTTCAAAACCGGCTTCTTGGTCGATGAACACCTGCTTTTCTTGGATTTGATGGGAGGGGCTTCTGCTGAACACCTAAACATCCACTACAACTCTCTGAACTCTTCAGCGTGTGAGCAAGATCAGTAGTACATCAGTAGATCCCATTCTATAAAGCAAAGGGCTTGCGGCACAGAAAAGGGCCAAGCCGATGCTGGATGCAAGGCTGAGTGCGAATTGAACATGAAAACAAGGGTGCACCTTAGACTGCCCCAGGAACCTGGGAAACACGTGCCTTTTGTAGTGCATTAGACTTGGAAAGTAGTACAACCATATACAGTAACAGCTATGGCTATGGCTATGGAGAGCCCATGAGGCCCAAGGAGCCCACACAGTCTCCGACGGTCTCCCTGGACCACACCACACCGGGTTGGAGCCACCACGTGGCACAGACGAGACTCTTGAGTTGTTTTCCTACCCTCCCGGGATGGGACCACCTCTTTTACATGGAGGTGTTGATGAATCAAGTCTACAGATGTTATACCAGATGTTCCAGAACCCAATCTACCACGCGATTGCGTAGACCTGTCTGGGTGTCCTGTCCGGAGATACCGGATAGTAGCGGTCTGGGGGCATCCAGCCAGGACGATGTTTGCCCTCCAGTTCAGACGATGATGCACAGAATCTCTAGAAGCCACCTGTTGGAGGGCCAGGTAGTTCTTCCAAGAATGGCAGGAATTCGATCCTGCTTGGGACTGAAGAAACGTTCTTGCTGATTGGGCCGTCTGTGACCAGTCAGAGAACTGGACTGAAAAGGACTCGAAGTCTTTTTCATGAATTTGGTGATCTTCCAACCCCAAGGGATGAACAAGCGAAAATTCCAAAAGCAACCTCCTCCAAATCAAGGGCTGTGGGAAAGCAGGAATCATCATCTTGGTTGACCGACCGACGACTCCTTATTTGCGCGATGGCCCTTCATGCGTCCCGGACGTCCCTTCAGCTGTGCTGGGTGTGAGGGAATTATTGGTTGACCACCTGGGAGGTGGACGGCTCCAGCTTTTGACTCATCCTGTCCTCCCTCAAGTCAAGGCACTTGATGGCGGCCAGCACTCGGAAGATGCGCTGTGCAGGCTCTTGGTTGAGCTCGCGGCTCTCCTCATCCATCTCCTCAGTTCAAGACCCGTGCAGTGTTTCTGTGCGCAGTGAAACAGCTCACAGCTCACAGCAGCCTTTGGAGCAAGAAACCAGATTGTAAAGGGGCACGGGAAGTTTGCGTCACAGATTTGGCAAGTGTGTCATGCAGCAAGTTGGTGGAGCCCATCCAGTTTGCGACAACTGCTTGGGAACAAACAAGATGCTGACTCCAACTTATTTGTGAGGGGGGGTTCCGGGGGCCAGCGCCAGGAAACCGTATCTTTTGGATCCAAATGGATGGATGAGGATTCCTTTCTTTTCGGAAGGAAAATGCGGGTGCCACTTGGCTTTTTCTACCCACCCACCCCAGTTCTGGGACTCTCTTCGGTCTCTTCCCAGGCATCCATCTTCTCCGGTGTGTTGGCCACTCGGTCGATTGCGCCCTCGGTGCGGAACACGACGAAGTCCTGGAGAGAAGGGTGCGGAGAGCGGAAGCTCCTGGTGGATCGAAAGACAAGTGAAAGGAAGACCTATGTATCTAGATTGGATGCTCATTGGATCTAGATTGGAAAGAATGCATTGTGAATCTAGATAAATTAGATAAATGATATCATATCATTGTATCCTTTACATCATAATATATATATATATAACTACATATTATACATGTGTGTGTATGTCACCGATGAACTACCCCACACTTTTCTTCTTATGGGCGTTCCACCTCACTCACAAACTGGTCTACTGAGGAATGGTCTACAAACTGGTCTCTTTTTCAGACTTTCAGAGCAGGGTGTTCTCTTCAACGGGTCACATTGTCTTCAACGGGTCAAGGCTTCTATGGCAACAGGTCTTGGTTTTTGGAAAAAACGGTCAAAGCCAAAAACCCAAACCAGCGGCTTCTTAGAGGCAAGGACCATTCCCCAAAAAAGATGTCCCAACCTCCACCACACTATGCATGGTATGTCGGTATCTCCAGCCTTTCGGCTCCCAGTCGTCGTTGCGGTGGAGTCTCCGGCGAGCGGCCCGGCGAGCGGCCCGGCGAGCACAATGGGAACCTGGCGGAGATGGCCTGGATATGCCCTGGTAGTATGACCTTACTATACCTTACTAGTAGGTGTCACGAAAACCCTCTCTCTGAAGCCAACTCCCCAAGTCAAAATACTCCACCAAGACCATCCTCTACTGATTTTCCCTTCAAAACCCCTGTCAAACCAAAGATATACCGTTTCCTGCAATATCGTTGCCAGAGCTCATCCAGACTTTCCTGCCTTTCTTCCCAAACTTCCCCAACCCCCCCACCTTGCCCCCCTCCCACTAGGCCATCCGACGCCCACACGCGAACCACCCGTCCCCAACATCCGCGCCGTCGGTCCGGCAGCACCGCGCGGAGCCGCGGCTCGCCCAGCGCCGCGGCGTCGCAGGCCTCTTTGGTGCGCTGCAGCTCGGCCACGACCTGGGTCGAAGCGAAGCTCGGCGCGTGGGGCGAAGCGGAAGGCGCGTGGGGCGGAGGGCGCGTGCGGCGGAGCCGTGGCGTTTGGGATTGGTTCAGGTCGCTCAAGACTCAGCTGGGTGTTTTTGCAGCTGGGGCAGGAGGTTGCGTGTGTTTGCCCTGCTTGGAGCTCCCAACACCAATGCCCAAACGGAGAGTGCGGAGGCGAGGAGTCCGAAGGCTCTTCACCCCAAACGGAACTCGACTTCAACGGGTGCTTTCTCGGCAGCCACAGAGCTTGGTGAGCGAGTCCGAAAGGCGGGTCGTCGGATGTCCTTCGAGTCTTGGGATCTGAATGGCTCAGCTGGCTGAAGAGCGTGGGGGAGAAGGGCTTGGGTATCTCGAGCACCCGTCTAGATCGAAGGAAGGAGCCCCATCATGAATACTCGACACTTCCACGCCATCCCCCAAAACTGGGCAGAAAAGGAAGGAAGGAAGTTCTATGGCCGGCGCTTTCACTCATCCGGGTGCTCAGTGAAGTCCGGCTCCAGGCCTTCCAACTCATCTCCTGGTCATCTCCAGGCGTTCCCAACCGGCACAGCTGGGCCTCCCCACAGCATGCCCTCGGCTCAGCAGCCGCAGGAGCGCCTTCCCCGCATCAGTCTCCATGAAAGCCATGGCGTCCGTGCGGGCTCAGGGCGCGAGTGAAAGGCTGGCAGGGTAGTTAGAGGCTGTAAGACTGTAGACAGGGTTTTGAGTTGGGAGTGTAAGTAAGGGTGTCGGAAGGTAGAGTGATGGCTTTGGGAGGGTTGCAAGTGTCGCAACCTTGTCATCGACAATGTCCAAAACGTTTCCAGACTGAGTGACCTGTCTTTTTCGTCATTCCACTGTTCGGTCGGTTTGTGGCATTGCGGCTTTTGGTGCCACCCCTGAATCGTTGGGCCAAAACATCGAAGTGTGGGAGTTACCTTTTTTGAAAGTTCCTTGACCTCTTTCAGTGCTGCATGTACCCGTCCGCATCGTCCGCATGGTCTGCCGGTCCGGCCTAAGGGAACCGCTCCCAAGGGAACCGGTCCGGCCGAAGTGCTGGGCGTGCGGACAGTCTTCCAACGTAGGGGTCCGCGGTCTTCCAAGGATGTTCTGTATATGGAAAGTATATGGAAAATCTGGTCAAACAACTTGATCAGAAGTGGAACATCGCATGTGCAGGGTTGACCGATTGTGGTGGAGAACCCTCCTAAAAGTTGACCTGGGCATGGCTTACCCTCCAATCATGTCCAACCACGGCCTGTCACATCTTCAGCCTATCATGTTGACAATATTCCCCACCTGGAGCCCTGGTTCACTACCCTCGTAGGTTGACCTCCTAGTCCATTCTGATCCATTCTATTCCCTTTCCGTGGTCAACCCCAGGCCTCCCCCCCCGGTTTGTGACCCACCCTGAAGGGCCCCCACTCCGCACCTCTTTCTTCGCCACACCACCCGGCGGAATTCGCTTGGCGCACCACCGGCTTCTTCGGCGAAAACACCCGAAGACCCCCGGGCGGAGTGAAAACACGCCGACGGTCAGGTCACTTTGGACCGATCGGAGGCGCCTGAGCGTCCGGTGTCACCACTGCGGACAGGAAGGCCGCCGCGTGTCGGGTTTGGGTCAGGCGCGTATAGGGGGTGCCAGGTGCGGGGCAACCCGGAAAGGTGAGGGATGGATGGCTGCAGTGTGGTGGGTCCCAGTGAGTCAAGTAGATGCGAGTAGGCTTGTTAGGGAAAGAAAACAAGCCACCTTTGGTGGAGATCAGAAGGACCTAGAAACCCAGTCCCAACCGGAAACAGTTCTAGATGTGTCCCCTGGAAAAATGACTGGAACCACCATCTATTTCTGGTTTGGGACTGGTTGGACTCCATCGACCAGCCCAGTTCCCTCTGTTCGGTGCTTCTTTCATCCACGATCCACGGAGCTCAGCACCGAGTTTTTGGCTCCAAACGGGTCGGAGGTGTTTTGGGGTCGATGGCTCCCAGGCAGCGTGGAGGGTGGTGCCATCGACCAGGTCGTCGTTCAGGTGACAGTCCACGGGTCCGAAGACACCCCGTGCTCGACGGCAGGGTCAGGGCGTTCCGGCGTTCCGGCCAGACCGGAGACCCATTGTTTCGAATCTTGGCTCATCACATGGTGACTTCGTTCATCTGAGTTCGAGCGAGTTCCGTTTCCTGTGACCTATAAGTGGAGTTCAAGTGCAAAGACGAAGAAATGGTTCGTCAGCACGGGGAAAGGTACCAATGAAGGTGGCTCTGGACTGGGCGGATCACCGTGACCTGTCCTGAGCCAAGGTGATGACCATGGCAGGATCCCGACAATCCGATGCTGATGATGTCCGAAGATATGAATCTGGTGAAGAGGCTGGGGATTTGCTGAGGTCGTGTTAGGCCACATCAATGTCGATAGCGAAGTCTATTCAGGCTTTGCATTGGCCTAGGTGTTGAAGGGTCAGGGTGCTTCACATCAACGGCCATGCCTGCCACCATTAAATGTCATGGGTTTTACAGAACAACCATAGTCCATAGTTGTACTAAGTTACTATATAATAAGGAGTTTAGACTACAACACCAGGTCAACCTTTTCTTTTTATGAACCTTGCAAGGCAGATGATTCCATTGTGCCAAGTCGATCCTGCGACCTGCCCCAACACAGCGCTTGAGTGGCCCGCGAGTTCCGCACGCGACACAACACACGGTCTTGCCATGTGACGTCGGAGAGACCAGGACTGGGAATCGTCCAGGGCACCTTGGCTTTGCACAGTCGGTCGCGCTGCTGCGATGCCTGAACCGTGTAGAGACCTTGATGACCTGTTGTATCCAGTGACTGGGTCAAACTCCCAAAAATCCACGACACCATTCGGTGTTCTCCTACAGTAGATTCAGTACAAACCTCCTTACGCTACCCTACATCACCAATAGACTCCAACTTGAGCAGAATCCTCCAATTTGCCCAATCTTCGGAGGCCTCCCAACCTTCCTAAAACTCTTCATCTTGCGGGGCAACCGCGTCACCCCATGCTCCACCCCCTCCGCTTCCTCCACTTCCGTCCCAGCCGCCGGCCGCCGCGCGTGCGCCCGCGGCGCCGTGGCCACCGGCTCCGAGACCTCGGAAACCGGGGCACAGGCCTCTACTTCGGGCGTGTGAAGAAGAAGAAGAAGAAGAAGAAGAAACGAAGTCATCCCGTTTGATTTGATGTGATTTGATTGGAAAGACGTGCGCAACACCCAGTCCGGAAGAAGTCCGACTGTACTGAAGGGGGGCGGGCTCGCCCCCGTACGAACCAGGCGACCATGTCAACATGAACGTCTATGTTTGCGGCGTGAAGAACTTGGGCGGGTGGAGCATAGCCCTTACAGAAAATAAGGCCTTCGAATGTTTGAAAGAACCATTGTCCCATGGTATATGTTATATGCTGTGCATGTGTTGACATTATGTTTGGTGTTGTCATTATGTGTCATGTCTTTAGTCTACTGTCGTGTTCGTCATGGGACTGGGTGATGCCCCGCAGCAACAGAGGCCATCGGCTGGGCAGCATCTACTCTAGAATCGCTTTGCCCAAAATCCCGCCCTGGAGTCCTGTGGGGAAAAACGGTTAACACAGGCACCTTGTCCTAAACTTGAAGTAAGAACCCCAATAGCCCTCGCCATCTGGGGAAAGGACCATTATAACATTGAACCATGACCCCGGTCATGCACGGTTGCAGCGATGTCTTTTGGGTCGCCGATGACCAACTGAAGCAGGTCGGAAGCATGAACATCAGAGAAGGTGGCCCTCCAGGTCCATGGAAAAGAATATACTTTTTGTCACCCTGCTCCCAGAAGTAGAAGTAGTAGTGGCGGCGATGGTGGTGGCAGGAGTAGTAGTAGCGGGAGTAGGAGTAGGAGTAGTAGTAGTAGCAGCAGCAGGAGCAGCAGCAGCAGCAGGAGGAGGAGGAGTAGTA